TGTGGCCCGCTCACGCGTCGGAACACCTGATTTATTCGTGTACGCACCAGACGGAAAAACAAAAAATATCGTGTATCCACAAACACTCCAATAAATAAATAGAATTGAAACGACACTTTGAAATGTTTTCCCGATGAAAATGAATAATAATAATAATAATAATAATAATAATAAGTTTCAATAAAAATAACAAAATGTAAATTGAATTTTATCATAACGAGTTTGCTTGAATTTTCTTTCTTCTGAGATCGCAGCAATGCGCGACGGATAAGCTAGTTTGTAATAAATAAGTTTTTCATTTAAAAAATTACGGAGAGATACTTCACTAAATTCTAGAATAACTACATAAATGAATTAATCCTTGAGATGTATCAATAAAAAGTTCGCCCGGTCAAAGTTTTTCTTAGCAGTTTTTTATTTTATTTTTTTTTTTTTTTTTTACTGTTCTAAGAAATTGGTTAATTTATAGATATTGTATTGATAAGTTTTATTAATATTAGTTAAGTTATGACTTATTTGATTTTATCAATAAGTGAATTTAATTATTAGATATTTTGCAATGCATATAAGAAAGAAAATTTACTTTATTATAAATAATGTAAAAGTGTGTTTTATACTTCTATTTGGAAAGCTTAGTTTTGAAAGATATTTAATAGAAAAATAACTCTGAAAAGGGATTAATAACAAAATTTAATTATATAACAAAATTTTTATCTTTTTGATTTAGTATCATTAGCTTGTGTTAATTTTTCAATTTTTAATAGCTGGAAACAGATGAATCACTTCTGTTAGAAAAAGCAAATCATGCTCTTGAGAGATACGGACATAAGGTTAGTATTAAACTTCAACACATCAGTAATTATTTATTATTATAATAATTAAATTTTTTACATCATGAAATAGAGATTTAATTCTGGAAATACTTTGAATTATTAGTAAGAACTACTTTTGTAAAATAAAGTGTATCTTGCCATCATGTTATATGAATTACTGTTTCATTAAGTAAATTCATGATTTACTTTTTATAAAAATTAAATACTAATACAAATTAAGAAAACTGTTTTTACTTTTAAAAATTTTTTTACAAAGCATGCTGATATTAAATGTTCTGCCATAATTTTTAAACATTAAACTCAATATTTTTTAATCCCAAGATGAAATTACCTCAAAAATTATAATTCTATTCATATTGATGAAAGTGAATAGAGAGAGTTGCTTTGCATTATAAATTGCATATGAAATCATTCAAGACAAATACACTTCAGTAAAAATTGAATTCCAATTGATTAAAAAGAACAAACTTACTTCATTGAACTTAAATTTATCATAGGAAAATACATAATTGCAGCTATTTTTCAATAAATTAACTTTTGATGATCAGACATTTGTCATAGCAATAGATAAGCAAATGTGGCTGTGAACTATCATGAAGCAAAATCACTCCTGAGTTCAGTAAGCCATATTTTTGTTTTGAAAAGTCTGCTGTAATTTTTTAAGGATATCACAATAGCTTTTGACATTTATTGTTGCTCCATGAGGCAGGAATTCATAAGCAAACCCAAATATAGTGCGTATGAGCTTCTTAATAGAAAGTACCTACTTTTTGTTTTTGACAAGTCAGTATGCCTCCATTCCATTGATTGCTGCTTAGTCTGGTGTTGAGTATGCAATCTAAAGTTTCATTACCTATCACTTAGTTATCTAACAGCTCATTAGCAGTTTTGTCATACAGGTCGAAGAATGTAAGTGCTGCTGCCATCTATTGTTTCTTGTGTCTATGTACAAGATTTTTAGACACACATCTTCAACAAAGTTTGTGATATTGCAGATTTTTATGGATAATTTCATGTAGGCATGAATGAGAAATTTGAGGGAATTCTGCATCCAACTCAGATTAACTATATCTTTTGTTTGATCAGTTTTTCATTTACCAACTGAATGACTGTCAACTTCTTTCATTGACATCATGTACATTCTGTTTGCTTTTGTTGAAAAGTCTTCACCATTGCCTGATCATTGCATCAGTTCCATACACATCACAAATCTGTATGAATTTATGCATCAACATTTTTAGCAGGCAGACATTTGATTATTAAGCAAATCTCAATCCAAAATCAAATGCATGATTATCAAACTCAAACCCAAGAACAAAAACTTAAATATGTTAGCTATTATCTGCTTGATCTTCAAGACGACACTTTCAGATGATAGCCAACCTTCAGTAGAGATGTGGAATTAGAAAAGTTCTTGACATCACACATAATATAGATTCCTCTTTAAATCATTCCTTCTGTAATATATCATAAAGTAATACCTTATATCACTCAATCTTTTTCCTATTTGTTTAATCTGAAGATAGACTTTTATTGTAGTGAAATGTGGACTAAGCATTTTTGTATTTCAGAAAAATTCATGAAACATTTTAAAATTAGTACAAAAATTGGTTAACAAAGTAAATAATAGTTACACATTCTAAAGAGAACAACTTGTATAGTCTACGAAGATAATTATGCATGAAACTATAAATTCCAAACTCTATGATTTTGAATCAATGAAACCAATTTACATTTTTTATCTGATTTATTCAAATATTAAAATTGTTAAAGTAAAAAAAAATTATATATATATAATAATCAATAGAGATTTAATATAATTTTGATATTTTTCTTAAATGCAATTTACAAAGAAAAAATATATTTTATTTTTAATAAAGAAATTTAAGGATATGTCACATGCTATAAGAAATGGAGGATAATTAGATCCTCCATTCTTACAGAATATCCATCTTACAGAAATTAGTTCTCAATGATGTTTATTTAAGCAGAAAAGTCAATAATTATTTCTTTGAAATTTTGAAATGTCTACATTTCACTTAAAGTGGATGTTTTAAGTTTTCTCTAGCAAAAAACAAAAAATATAGATTAGATCTCTTTAGTGAAAACGGTCATTAGTATGTTTTGCTTGAATGATGATAAATTAACTGAGACTTCATCATGATTGTCTCATTTTTTATTAATCTTTTTCAGGCTGATTACCATAAGTCAACTATTAAATCACACTATTGCACTTCATTAAAAAAAGGATACTTAAGTTTTTTTAATAGTATAATTTTATTATTATTGATCAAAGAATCATTTAAAAAGTATATTTTAACAAGAAATGTATGTTTTTTGAATATTTATACATTTTTTAAATTTATTCATAAGAAATTCTTGAAAAAAAATTTTATTTATTTGATATTATCTATATACTAGAATAATAAGCAAAAACCACATTTAAAAATTTTGTATTTTTTCCCTATCATTAACTTATCTTCTCTTTCTACAAATGAAGAACTGTGATGTGTTCAATAATGCAGAGTGCTAAGTAAGAAATCTAATTGGCTAAGGGTGAAGCTGAGAAGTGTTCTAAGTATCCTTGGTGTACTGAGTTAGCAAGTTAGACTGGTTTGTGTAAAAATGACAAATTATATAATTATCATAATTTTATGATAATAATAATTTTATAATCAATTTATTTTAATTATGATGATATAAAAAATATATTTAGTCCAGCACGAGCAGCCATCTCTTAAATTATATGATGAAACAAAAACAATGTTGTCGCTAGTAGAAGTTAGCGTAGACAAAACACTGACTGAATTAGTTAGAGTTTTCTGGAAAGAGTTAAGAAGTAGTTAAAAAAAAGAGTTCAGCACTGCAGCATAACTAGACTTAGCAAGAATTCTGCAATACTGAACATTGGTGATTTGACTTATCACCACCCAGGAACAAAAACTAGTTTCCTTGGACTAGTCAATCAGTAAGGATGTGTCAGATGAAACAAACTTTTGGCAGTGAAAGCAAACTTTGACTTAAGTTTCTTCAATTTCAACTTGCTTCAAATTTAGTTGGTTTCATTTATAAAACATTTTTGTGTCCTATAATCTATATATATATATATAAATGGACATGTATGTCCCTATATTTCACTTTTCTGCCAAAACTACACATCGCACGTGAATGGTGTTTGTATGTGGTAGTAGCCCCAAGTCTCCATTCGTGCACCAGGGGGGTTGCGTCTCGATAGCTATAAGGGTGTGGGAGATATGAGGCTGAAAGTGGTTGAAAGTGGCTTTCTATTTCGAATGTTTTGTTCGAATTTGTTCGAATTAAATTCGAACATAAAATTCGAATATTGGTTCGATTATAGAACGATTGTAAACGTTCCAGAAACGTTGAAAATAGTTCGTTTGACTGGACGTGAACAGGAGACGTTCAGAAATAGAATCGGGACCAGGTCTCTAATTAGTCTGGAAACGGGAGACCTAATTCTTGCATTCTGTGAAAACGGGTAAGATTGGCTATAATGTAATTATCTTAATCTTCACTATCGTTACTTTTTAAAAACCCAGCGAAGGGGGTCCTTGCAGCTAGATTCTAGATTACTTAGAAAACCAGTCTTTTATATATTTAAAAAACTATATTACATACAAATGTACGAACAAATAAAAACCCAGCGAAGCGGGTCCTTGCAGCTAGTTGTTAAATATAGTTAAACCTGTTCAAAATGGAATTTTAATAAAATAGAAACTTGTTTAAATGAGAAAAATTCTTCAGAATGCCGTACTTTTTAATTAAAAAAAATTTTAAATAAGCTTGCTCAAAACAAACCTACCAAACCAGAAAAAATATTTGGTACCATGTAATTCTGGTTCACACAGATTTTGCTGTATTTCATTTCTTTCTATTTTTTTGAAGTATTGTGTAATAAATTTATTTATACCAATCAAAGTAATAGATGGTAGCATTACATTCAAGTAGCTAATTACTATGTCTAACTCACTAAATTTAACATAGTATTTGGAAAAATTTATAAATTTTTTCTTTAAGATTTTTCAGGATTTGCATATATTTTAACAATTGAACACACATTCTTCTCAATTTTTTGTATTTGTCATTCTAATGACTACTTAAATATTATTAGATTTAAATTCCTATTGATAATATAAAGGTTTAAATTATTCTTTCTAAAACACTAGAAATTTTTTTCATAAACCTACTTGAGTTAACTAATAAATTATACATTTGACAATAAAAAAGTTTTCATAAAAACAAAAACTATTAGCTGAATATATATATTTAATTGAAATTCTCAAATTATCAATAGAAGCAGCAGAATTAGTAAGACTTATGATGTAAAAAATATTTTAAAAAGTTAGTTAAGAATAACTTATGAGAAAAATATTGATACAGATTCTAAGAATTATTGTTTTACTAATAATTGAAAAATTCAAGTATAAATTTTATAATTTATATTAAATACTTTATTTTAAAATTAAATTTCTTTTGTCAAATTTTATTACTGCTTATATGTACTAATATTTATAAATATCTTAAAAAATTTAGTTGGTTGTAGCCAATGCACTCCATAATCGAACAAAGAAAGTAATATTAGTAACAAAGGATGACCATTCTATTATTGAATTAAAACAAGAAGAAATAGAAAATGGCTGTGAAATAGAAGAAAAACTGGTATCAGATATTGTTAGTCGACATAATTTGTATTTAGCTCAATAACTATAACTAATCTTTGAAATTTGTAATTTATATCTTAATTTTTATACAGTTATAATTGCAACAATATAGTGCCTTGCAAATTCTAATAAGTGAATTAAAATTTTATGGAAATAATCATTTTCTTATAAAAATATATCTTAAATCTTTAAAATACTTTATATATTATTAAGATAATATGTAAAGATTAAGAAGTTTGAAATGTAAATTAAGAAAAAATTTTATTTGTTCTTTAAAATTAGTTAAGCTGTTTATGGAACAGTTTTAAAATGTTCCAGAATTGCATTTTCAAAAATGCTTTTTTTGCATTTATGACACTGAAAGAAATCTAAAACTGCATCATTTCAATTATTGAACATTATTAATTATTCTGTTATGGTTTTATATTTCACATTATCAAATGGGATACTCATTATGCCAGTTTGATGTGATAGTGTAGAAAACATTGTACAAGATTACTAAAATTAAAAATGAATTAATTCCAAATTACAGTTTAAAATTAGTTGTATTAATAACCTGCAGAACTTGCAATACAGTATTTAATAATTTCAAAATAGCTCTATCTAAAGATACCTGTATATATAATTTAAACTTTCTAATGTTCTTGCAAATTGCAAAAGAAAAAAATTGTATTACAAAAAGAAAATACACATCAAAGTGCTATAAAATCATCATCAGAAGTTCCATGTAAACATAAAATATTTTTGGAAAATCTTACTTCCACTTTCAGAGAAAGGATAAATTTTAAAATAAATAATTAAAAAAAAATGATAGAATTCACAAACTAATCCTCCTTGATTTTCAAAATTTAAGTATAAATTTAAAGTTGTATGAAAGTTTTTAAGTTGAACAAAAATTTAAAATCTTGTGTTAGAAATTGTGCACACTCACACACCAATAATCATACAAATTTATTGAAAGAAACTTCTTACTGGCATACAGAGTAANTCGGGACCAGGTCTCTAATTAGTCTGGAAACGGGAGACCTAATTCTTGCATTCTGTGAAAACGGGTAAGATTGGCTATAATGTAATTATCTTAATCTTCACTATCGTTACTTTTTAAAAACCCAGCGAAGGGGGTCCTTGCAGCTAGATTCTAGATTACTTAGAAAACCAGTCTTTTATATATTTAAAAAACTATATTACATACAAATGTACGAACAAATAAAAACCCAGCGAAGCGGGTCCTTGCAGCTAGTTGTTAAATATAGTTAAACCTGTTCAAAATGGAATTTTAATAAAATAGAAACTTGTTTAAATGAGAAAAATTCTTCAGAATGCCGTACTTTTTAATTAAAAAAAATTTTAAATAAGCTTGCTCAAAACAAACCTACCAAACCAGAAAAAATATTTGGTACCATGTAATTCTGGTTCACACAGATTTTGCTGTATTTCATTTCTTTCTATTTTTTTGAAGTATTGTGTAATAAATTTATTTATACCAATCAAAGTAATAGATGGTAGCATTACATTCAAGTAGCTAATTACTATGTCTAACTCACTAAATTTAACATAGTATTTGGAAAAATTTATAAATTTTTTCTTTAAGATTTTTCAGGATTTGCATATATTTTAACAATTGAACACACATTCTTCTCAATTTTTTGTATTTGTCATTCTAATGACTACTTAAATATTATTAGATTTAAATTCCTATTGATAATATAAAGGTTTAAATTATTCTTTCTAAAACACTAGAAATTTTTTTCATAAACCTACTTGAGTTAACTAATAAATTATACATTTGACAATAAAAAAGTTTTCATAAAAACAAAAACTATTAGCTGAATATATATATTTAATTGAAATTCTCAAATTATCAATAGAAGCAGCAGAATTAGTAAGACTTATGATGTAAAAAATATTTTAAAAAGTTAGTTAAGAATAACTTATGAGAAAAATATTGATACAGATTCTAAGAATTATTGTTTTACTAATAATTGAAAAATTCAAGTATAAATTTTATAATTTATATTAAATACTTTATTTTAAAATTAAATTTCTTTTGTCAAATTTTATTACTGCTTATATGTACTAATATTTATAAATATCTTAAAAAATTTAGTTGGTTGTAGCCAATGCACTCCATAATCGAACAAAGAAAGTAATATTAGTAACAAAGGATGACCATTCTATTATTGAATTAAAACAAGAAGAAATAGAAAATGGCTGTGAAATAGAAGAAAAACTGGTATCAGATATTGTTAGTCGACATAATTTGTATTTAGCTCAATAACTATAACTAATCTTTGAAATTTGTAATTTATATCTTAATTTTTATACAGTTATAATTGCAACAATATAGTGCCTTGCAAATTCTAATAAGTGAATTAAAATTTTATGGAAATAATCATTTTCTTATAAAAATATATCTTAAATCTTTAAAATACTTTATATATTATTAAGATAATATGTAAAGATTAAGAAGTTTGAAATGTAAATTAAGAAAAAATTTTATTTGTTCTTTAAAATTAGTTAAGCTGTTTATGGAACAGTTTTAAAATGTTCCAGAATTGCATTTTCAAAAATGCTTTTTTTGCATTTATGACACTGAAAGAAATCTAAAACTGCATCATTTCAATTATTGAACATTATTAATTATTCTGTTATGGTTTTATATTTCACATTATCAAATGGGATACTCATTATGCCAGTTTGATGTGATAGTGTAGAAAACATTGTACAAGATTACTAAAATTAAAAATGAATTAATTCCAAATTACAGTTTAAAATTAGTTGTATTAATAACCTGCAGAACTTGCAATACAGTATTTAATAATTTCAAAATAGCTCTATCTAAAGATACCTGTATATATAATTTAAACTTTCTAATGTTCTTGCAAATTGCAAAAGAAAAAAATTGTATTACAAAAAGAAAATACACATCAAAGTGCTATAAAATCATCATCAGAAGTTCCATGTAAACATAAAATATTTTTGGAAAATCTTACTTCCACTTTCAGAGAAAGGATAAATTTTAAAATAAATAATTAAAAAAAAATGATAGAATTCACAAACTAATCCTCCTTGATTTTCAAAATTTAAGTATAAATTTAAAGTTGTATGAAAGTTTTTAAGTTGAACAAAAATTTAAAATCTTGTGTTAGAAATTGTGCACACTCACACACCAATAATCATACAAATTTATTGAAAGAAACTTCTTACTGGCATACAGAGTAATTCCTAATGCAATCAAATCAAAGGTTAAACAAAATTCAAATACTGTTATTAAATTTTATTATTGTTAACTTGAAACATTAAATAAATTTTTTATATTGATCAAAAACTTGAAATTTATGATGATAAAATTTCTAATATCTACAAATTTAAATATTAGTTTTTGTAATAAATTTGTTTATATATTTGTAGATGTTAAAAAAATTAGATGATTTGTTGAGATTACAATGTATATAAAATTTTACTTTTTGTATATTAAAATATTATGATAAAAAGTATTTATAAGTTAGAAGATTAATAGAATCTTTAAATTTTAATATATTTTACAAGTTATTAGTATTACAATTTAAAAGTAATTGATTTAAAGCTTTATTTTAATGCTATAATTTTGTAGAATATATTAATTTGATTAAGAAATTTCATTAATTAACTCATTCTGTAATTTTGAAGATTGAATGATTCTTTATGGAATTTCTTAACAAAATTTTACATTTACTAAATTTTAGAAAATTCTGGCAATTTTTATAGTAGTTGTAACTTTATATGCATTTCTGGTGCTGAAATATTAATTAAGAAGTGCATTAAGAATTATATCAGAAATGGAAAATGGGTTGTAATCATTTTAATGCCATTATCATATTGAAGAATATTTTATATATAAAAATAAAAGAATTTCATTAATAATGAAAGAGCTAGCCTTGTAAACCAGCAAAAATTTATTTTGACTTGTGCTTTGATTCAAATTAGAATTGAAAGTACTATTCTAATTAAGCAAACTTATTGCTGGTTTACAAGGTTAGCTCTCTATTCTTTCTATATAAACAGTTTAATATGATATTAATGTATTAATTGATGGCAACAAATTTTATATCAAATAAAAATATTTATTTTGTTAAGAATGATTGCCATTAAAAGGTATTCAATAAAAGATGTTTCATAAATATACTGTCTTTAATATTAACAAGCAATGATATGATATTTATAGCTGTATAATTAGAGCAGCTTGATCATATTTGAAGTACTGTACCTACCTTCCAGTTACATTATATAATTTTGAAAATATATTTTTAAAAATAATAAGTGTATAGGAATTTTTATTTTTGAGAAAGAGAAGTATATATAAGAATTATGTTCCTTTACAAAATAACTTTCTTTTTCTGACAATCCAACTGACTTTAAAAAATCTGTTACAAATCATTCACTATTGTCTATCTAATTTTCTCTGATCTATATTATTATAAAGTGAAATTCTAATAATTTGTGATATATGATGATTCTTTATTTTCAGTTTTGATTCTTATTTTTATTAGTTTATAAACATAAACTTAAATTGAAAAAAAGGTAATTACAATTTTAATTTCTTATAATGACAAATCCAATAATCTGTTTGGCATTAAATAATAATCAATCTGTCAGATTTGTTGGGTTAGTTTAATAATTAAATATAAAGTAATTTGACTAGAGGTAGGGCAATTAGACTGCCATCTCATGATAAATTAAATTAAAACATTAATTAATTTCTAATTATCGTATTTACTCGCTTATAAGACAATCTCGCATATAGGACGAGGTGTGACTTTAAAGATCAAAATAAAGAAAATTATATTTATTAATACAATTCTAATCTTATTTTGCTTAATCACAAATAAAATATCAAATGCACACATTGTCCTGCAGAAATTACTGGCATTTTAAACTTTAAGGAAAAAATCTTGTAAAATTGACAACATAATCTCTTCGTGTAAAGCTGGACAATTGGAAACCTTTTATGCCAATTATTAACAGTCAAATCCACTCTCCGTCGATTACACTTATGAGTTTCTCCAAATTCTGATATCCAAATAATCATCTGTTTTCATGTGGGAATGGATTAAAACTTATATTGGGCTTCCATATGAGTTCGGAATTCAATTCAAAAGCTTTGCTTTTCCTATTGCTAAT